TTACTACAAATAAACTTGTGTGGGAACATCCTTAGAATTTATAGTAAATACATGGTAAAAATATACGACATACCGACATTTCGCAGTACATACTCAGTATATAAGTAGAATAAGATATTAGGGGTCGGTAACGTATGCTTAACATATTCTAAGGAGCTGTGCAATGCAAAAAACGCAGATTCCAAGTATAATCTTCTTCTAAGTCAGCATATTCTTGTTACATACTAAGAGCGTACAATTGTTATGTGGGTATTAGAATAATTATTATTTAATATTTTTGAGTCACATCTATCAACAGAGCAAGTTTTGTATTTGAAACCGGTAAGCTTTTCCCATAATGTTGAACACTCAGATGAATCCATAAAGGCACTGTACAAAGGAACTTTTTACAAACAATATCAACATAAAAACTATAACGCAAATATAAAAACCATATGACGGCAATGCAACCAGCAGAGGATAGTTACATCTTCTGGTTAGTTGTAAATATGATCCTTTGCTGTTTTGGTCAGTTTTATGTCAATGAAAAAATTGCTGTTAATTCTATCTTTTGCCCCCAGCAATGTTTTACAGATCTGTATCCTCTCCGGCTGATAAATCTCGCCTAATACACCCTTTCGATTACGAGTGAAAACGACCATTTCGCCTGATTCGAGATATCGTGTCCCCAATTAGCATTAATCTAAGGACCGAAATAATATCCGTGTCAAAAAAAGGACTTGAACAATGGACGGATAAATTGAATGCGATAAACCAGTTTGATTTATAGAAATTTCTTGCGATGTTGTCGGACGTTTTTTTAACATAACTGCTGCGGGTTTTCTCACTCAAATCTAGATAACAATAATTGTTAACGTAAAAAGGAACAAGCGTTTATTTAGAAAATTTAGGCAATTTCTAGCGAAGTTAATTATGTTTAAGTAAGCTGAAGTGGGCCATCGATATTTTGTAAAGAGTAAAATTTAGTAACCCAAGTGTTACCGAATGCAACCTTCCCTCATGTTAGCCCAGGTTTGGTTTTAATTTCTTTCAACGGTTTGGTCGGCTGTGTTTTTAAATTTTATTTTATTATTATTACAACAAGTGCAGCTACGCTCCGCTCGTATCAAATATACTCATAACTCAAATGCCGTTTACCACACTTGTTGCACAATCTATTACATTCGGAAAAAGACGTTTAATAGCAAATATTGTAGTTTATACATCTCTCCTACCGAATTAAGATGATTTTTCCAATCTTCTGACACAGAAAATCAATTGAATTAGCATTATATATGATTCAAAACACTTATATAAAAAGTGTAGGTGGGTACAAATATCAAAAAACGTAAAATAACATTTCACACATGTAAACACTGGCTAACAGCCACCTTCTCGTCTTCGACCAGCACCCTCTTTTTGCTTTAATTTGGAAGCCTGTGTCTCACTCTAGCGGAACCGTACGTATCTACTTCAATGAGGCGTTCTGGTCGACCGCTAATTTGTCTATGGGCGAATAGATGGTAGTGAGGGTTTGTTACACCATGATTTTAAATCTAGCGCATGCGCATCTTGAATGAACCCTCTCAACTTCTTTTCATAGTTTCTTTATAAGTTTCTGTAGTATCGACATAAGCAAGGCCTCCATATATAATATATACTTTTTTAATTTAATGACGAAATAGGCGGCAAATTTTACTTCGTGTAATTTTTATTTTTCGAAAAGCGGGATGTTTGTTTAAAGGCGCGAAAACGAAAGTAATAAAGCGAATTTGTAAGACAAACTGGTGGGAAATTTTCTTACCGAATCTCATTCGAAGTTAAATTATGGTGCGCAATTTTCCCGAAACGTGAATACTTTTAGAAAATATATTCTTCTTCTTCGACTCAGGATTCTTTATGAATTTAAAAAAAATTCCAAAAATTATTTAACCTTTTCTGGATTTCAAGTGAAAACACTTCCTTCCGTGTTTTCAGATTACATGTATGAACGGTTATATTCATACTATTATTATATTTATCTACAACCATTTAATAATAGACGCATAATACTTCTGACAGTGAGAGTATTATGCTACGCATAATACAACAAGTGTAATTATATCATAAAAAAACAAGTGTAATTATATCATAAAACAACAAGTGTAATAAAATATTCTGGAATTCTTAATAATCCGGGCTTCAATTAATCGGCGCAGAATTCACACATTTCATTTATTATTTTTATGAAAATTTACTATAAAGTTACCCATATTAAAGTCATACACACGTTACCAATTCAATTCTATTATTCAAAAACAGTTCAAAAAATACAAACCAATATGACAATAATTAAAAAGAATTAGTAGGCCGTGCAGGCTAAATCTGAGAGCGCGCAGCGGGTATCCATAGCGACAGCTTACCCGACGCGACGCTCATCGTGAATACAAACATTTTCTTTCATGAAATAATAATTGTAAAGTAAATAATATTCATATAGAGAAGCTTTAAAATTTCGCCTTGCAATTAAAACATAAGATTTAATAAAAATGGATTCTGAAAACGAAGTACTAACACCCCCGGAAATTCGAGCGGCAGCGGAAGCTGCGTCTCTGGATTTACTTCCCAAGAAATCAAGAAACAATTATGAAATTGCCTACAACAATTTCATGGATTGGCGATCAAGAAACAAGGCCACCTCCTTCTCTGAAGATACATTATTAGTGTATTTCAAAGAATTGGCTAAAAAGTATAAGTCGTCCTCCTTGTGGACGTTTTATTCCATGCTGAAAAGCACACTTTATATTAAACACAATGTCAAGATCGACCACTACGCGAAGCTACATGCTTTATTAAAAAGACAATCAGAAGGCTATCAACCCAAAAAATCTAAGGCATTTACCGGACAGGAAATAAATAAATTTATTTATGAAGCTCCTGATACAAAATATTTGGCTACAAAGGTAAGGAATGATAAGACGTTACATACCTACGGTATTTACCAAGAGGTGTTAATTTTTTAGGTTGCATTAATTATGGGAGTGATGGGTGCATGCCGCTCAAATGAACTACATGCAATGAAAATACAACACGTTACATTTTATGAAGGTTGCACTAGAGTAATAGTTCCCGTTACGAAGACCAAGATCCCTAGGAATTTTACTATTACTGAGAAGTTCCATGATATTGTTAAAAAATATGCAAATCTGAGACTGCCAAATGCATCAGATTCTTTTTTTATGAATTTTCAAAATGGAAAATGCACAAAACAAGTTATCGGCATTAACAAGTTTGCCAAAATGGGCAGAGAAATTGCAAGTTTCTTACAAATCAAAAACCCAGAAAGATATACCGGGCACTGTCTACGACGATCTTCAGCCACATTGTATGTCGACGCAGGGGCAAGTATGACAGCTCTGAAGCGCCACGGAGGCTGGAAGTCGGCTTCTGTAGCTGAAGGCTATATTGCAGACTCGCAGAAGAACAAGACCGATGCAGCTACTAAAATATTAAGTCAAATCAACCCTAATTGTAATATTAATAACAGTACTTTTGTTTCTACCCCCTCACAATATCCAGGTATGTCTACTATTACGAGCGAATCTTCTCATAACACTTTTTCGATTAGTAAAGACACCACGGACATTAGTATTGGTACTACACCAACTACGATGAATTTCAATAACTGCCCTAATATAACAATCAATTTTATGAAATAGACAGAGTAATACATAATGATCCTATTAAGCGTCAATTTAAAAATAATTGTGTGCTGAAGTGTAAATGTTAATTAAATATTATTAAACTTATTAAATGTTCAATCCAGGACTTTCATTGAATTTATTCCTTATTACATCACAACTCATAACACATAAACATATAACATAAACAGCATACATAAACAGTAACCAGTGTTGATATTGAGTGAATGGTAGAATCTAAAAATGTATGATATTATGTTCCATTTCATATAAAGCAAGTTAACATCCACTTCCGGCCTAACCGGAAGTGCCACCATCTTGAGAATATTCTAGCTGAATTGCTCTGCCATCAGCATTAGCTTCCTACCGAATTTTCAGGTTTCTCCCATGTATAGTTTTTTTTCACAATAAAATGACACATTTCAATTCCGGTGAGGTACCCTATATAAGTGGATGGTTGTAGATAAAGTATAGTATTTGACTCGAGTATTATGGACCATAATAAACTCAGATGATTATAACACTCGCCGCAAGCGGCTCGTTTTATAAATCATCCTCGTTTATTATGGCCTTCATAATACGCTCGTTAAATAATATACTATTATTACTAGTTCCTTGCGCTATAATTATTGTAATTGCAATAGTACTGTCCAAAATCCAGGAAAAGTACTCAAAAGAATCGCTAGCTAAATATTTTCCTACGTTTTAATGGTTATTTAGCGGAAAAATATTTTCAAATTGCGAATACCCTGCAAAGTATTGGCAAAATTAAAAATAATTTTGGCGAATAATACGAAATATTGACACATAAAATATTACTGACATTCTGTCCGCAATCGAGAGAACATGGGTTTTCAAGCTAACGGGATGGAATTGTGTATTCAGTGGCGAGGCATTCGCAACTATGATAATGCGATTGCCAAAGAAAAACAAAATTTCATAGTCTTCTAACCCCACTCCTGTGGGATATAGTCCAAAAACATGTTAGATTCTTAACATGCTGTCAAAAATAAAACCTCAGGAACAGTAAGGTAACATCAACGAAAAAAAACATAAAAGGTTGTCAGAAAAATTAGATTATAATCCGTTAATAACCCGAAACTTCCAAAAAGTAATATAACGTGTGCGAACAGTCCCTACATTATTTTTAATGATTTGATGATCGATGAAGCAATTGGAAAAGCGTTGTTAGGAAGCAAGGTTGTCCAAAAGAGAATTTTAAGTTGCACTATAAATCCTCTTTTATAGTTTGGGCCATTTGTAGTAAACAATTTGATACTTTAAGAGTGACATTTAGATTTCCCACAAACATAAACAATAAGGATAATAAAGAATCCAGTCTATAATTTTACATTTATTAAAATATGATAACATAGTATATAATAAAACCTAATACCAATATGTTTTAGCTGGGACTCTATCCTCTTTAATGCCCATTTTCTCCATAATGTCCATTTCAAAAGTGCACAGTTTAGGTTGAAAGGTTATTTCAATGGCATTATCCTTTGTAGTATCCTTAGGTTGTTCTTTATAAGTATTTTTTGTTTTATAATCTATGGTCTCCTCTGCTGCCTTCGGCATAGGAATTATTCTGCCAGTCCTTGTTGAAACCCTGACTCGTGTACCATCTTCCATGAACCTCCATTCAATACCTGTAGGAGCTAAATCTGAAGGATCCACAAGGCTAATATCAGTAGTTACAAGTAATGGCTGTTCTTCTTGTATCCATACACCAGACAACTCTTCAGTATCCCCCATTTGTTTCAACTTGCAATTTAATCCTTCAACAATAACCCAATTTCGTTCCTGAAATATATCCCTTACATATCCTTGTTTGCCTTTATCTTTACCTGCAACACAAGTGGGTAGTAAATAAACATGTTTATAAAAAAGCAATGTACCTACCAACTAATATTTCCACTCGGTCACCTCGAAACCAACTCCAATTTTTAATTGGTTCGACAAAAACTTTTCTGGGCACCCCTTGGTTCTCGTCCCTAAATGCAGCCGTCCACGGGCGGTTCGTGGTAAAATTGAACTTTTTTCGTTTAATGACAGCATTGGGTTTATACTGAATACCTTTTGGATTTTTCCAATATACCTGCTCCATCGCTCTCTCAATATAGCGGTCGGGTAAATTCGCATATTTCTTTGACCAGTATCCTATTCTGCTCAATAGGCTGTTTGTAAGTCTCATTGTGGGCGAAGAATTGAATAAAAATTATTTTCTTAGATATTTCTCCTAGCGGCCCACTGTTGAGGTTTTTTTGAAATACCTAATTGGACAGTATTTCCCAGGACCATTCGGCCAAACCGAGAAAGTTATAAAAATTAAGGAAATCTGCTGAAAATGTTTCGAGTTAAAAAAAATGTATTACTTAGAAACAATAAGTAAATAATTCAGGTTACTGCAAAATTTGATTACCTATGAATAAATTGAATCACTAATTAAAAACCATGATTTAGATTTTACTTTGGCAAGATAGTGTAACAAAGTAGCCACCACATTAACACAATAGTTTCCTGTTTGCTTGGCGGGGAATCACATTTTTCCCAACATTTATTAATAGGTGATCTGAGTGCATGTATGCTAGTATCTAGTTTTGTCCCACATCTCGTCCGTGTTTGAATTTTAAAAGAAATCATGGTTTTTAAAGTTTTTCGGATGTTTATAATGTCCTGCGTTATTTCTAATATTTGTAATTTAGCCGCTAGGACAGAAGAGCAAAAGGGCTTTACGTAAGTAACCTATCTTTAGGTCCTCGGGAGCCATTCTAAAAAGTGGATGTTTATTCCATCCCGGTTCCAAAAAAATTAGAAATCGGTTAAAAATTATGTTCTTATTATTTTGAATTATATTGACCAATATTTGTAAGCCCGCTGAATGATTTTTAGCAGTCGTGGTCGTGAAAAGTAAAAGCAGTAATGGCAGCGTAATTGTAAAAAACCTATCTTTAGGTTACAATTGTTCCATATATAAACATATGTTACTTATAGGATCGAACTAAAAAGAATAAAATCTCCATTCGAGCAACACTTGAATGCACCAAATTTGACGAAATACGGCATAAATCTGGACTGGTTTTATCAGAAATCAAGTCAAACAAATGACTCAATAGCCCTCTACAGATACCTTGATGTAAGTAGTAAATGATGCAGTTTTTGCGCAAGCATATTTTTGTTTACTTATATTTGTAGGTAACAGTATACAGTTACATATATCTCCTGTTTGTTTAAGAAAAAAAGTTTTAGTTAGTTTTTATCAGTAACATTTATAACCGTTAGGTTATCCGCTATTTATCCTAGTTTAAAAATAAACATTTTATCAGAGTAAGGAACATTTCAAGTGGTAAAATAAGCTGGTTTTTGAAAATATGTAGTAGGAACGCACTTAGATTTTAATTTTGATAACTTTTGTGGGAGTGGATTGTTCAAATTTTTTTTATTTCCTTTATCCCAGAATGAATTTTATGGCGAGATCGTTGTTGGGAAGCCCGGACAGAAGTTTAATGTTGCATTTGATACATCATATCCCATATCGTGGGTGCTGTCAGCCAGATGCTTTTCTTGGACCAATTGGGGTTGCAGTAAGTAAAAATTCCAGATAATTTTATGAATGGCCTTCCAAAAAAACTTTTTAAGTGTTTCACAATAAATATGATGACACCAAATCCTCTACCTTTCAAAAAGATGGTCGTCCTTATGTAGCTGATGATGGTCAGGACAAATTTACTGGTATTTACGCCTATGAAAAGATCTCGGTAAGGTAGGCAAAGAGACTTCAGACAAAAATGATATGTGTGTCGTCTTTCTCTCAGTTTGCCCACTCGAATGTTACAAACCAATCGTTTGTGGAAATGGAACAGGTGCCCAGATCATTGATTTTCAGTAAGATTGACGGAATATTGGGTCTGGGACAGAAATTTAACGACTCGTACCAGCCGTTTTTTTATACCCTTATGAATCAGTCTAATATCCCACCGCTATTCTCAATCTATTTAAATCGGTAAGTCTGTTCCCTAAGTCTTTTGTTTAATCGCACTGAAGAGATTTTCTAAGTACTATTTATTTACAATTTCAGGGATCGTCAGTCCAATAAGGGAGGTAACATCATGTTAGGCTTCATAAATAAAAAGCACATAAGGAAGCACATGAGTCCAAACAATATACCTGTGGAAGACGAGATCAGGTATTTAAGTGTAGAACCCAGTTTTTACTGGCAGTTTAAAATTGACGGGTAAGCAATATTAACCAATATTTTTTGGATGTTATTGCGTGGCATTGAAATTTAATAGTAAGCAAAGTTGCACTTAAAGAAATCAAGAAAACATTTTTAAATAAATAGAAAATAGTCTAATATATCGCAACTTATCTATATAACCTATATATAGTTCGTTTAAAAAAGACGCCAATTTAATTTAGCATCTCTGCTTTGCTTCCAAAATGCAGAGTATTTGCTTGACAAATTTTTTTTTTATATATTGTTTTTATTATCTTAAATATCTTGGCTATTTTTTAAAAATTAGCGGTCTTGTCTAGTGAAAATGATATCCAAAAATTTGCCATTATGTAGTAATCATTTCTGTGATTTCATTAAAACCAGGAAAATATGAGAAGCACAATTAATGCTCAATATTGTTTTTCTTTTTTCGGTGTTTTTACATGAAACCTTTTTGTAAAACTTTAGAAAAGAAGAATTTTGTATAAAAAAAAACTACTCAAACACGGACACTTAACAGTAAAGCAGCTAATGCATAAAATATCTCGTAAATCTGTCACAGTGCAAACAAGTGCACAAAATATTCAGCAAAAAACGACTATATAATTCTGAATTTAAATTAAACTTAGATCATCACGAAAAATAACACCAATTAGGACAATTACAATTTTTTACAATCCACTAACACAAGCAATTCTAATGTTTGAACCAGTGATTCCCAATCTGTTTTGATATTGATTTTCTTGTTAATTACTAACTGCAGTGAATATACGTTTGTTAATTTAAATTAGAACTACTCAAAATAAAATTTTGTATCTGTTTATAACATATACCTAACTTAAAATAAACTAAGCACCAAGTAAACGTTTTTAGTGGGACGATGAAACTGATGCTTTAATAATAAATTATCAACATTTGGCGTCAGTTTCGTTAAATCTAGTCTTAAACCTCCTCAGCTAATTATGTCCAGTTTTTCTTTTTTTCGTTAGAAGATTCGTAACAGCGCTAACCCTCTTTTCCACTAGGTGTTACCATGCCATGGTATTACCATTAAATGCCGCTATATTCCATAATACGGGATGTCACGGGGACGTTTTTAAACTGAACTTTAAGTTCTTCATTTGTACTTAATTGAATCGGTTCTTGTATTGTGATATTCGTTTCTTGTATGACACCATATGGGTTAATTATCCACATTAGTATTACCATAGCCAAACCATCCTCAAACCTAGTTTCAAAATCTGAATAAAGAGCATTTAAATGTTGAACCTAGGTTGAAACGTCGTTTTGCTGGCAGTTTGTCTGTGACCAATTGGGGAACTGGGTAAATCCACCTCGTCCAATATTTCGCTTCATTAGTTCAACTCTGACAAGAAACGCTGATAAGATGGACTTTGTTTTAATTAGGGTTAGACTGTCATCTTGTAACTGTAAATTAACCACATTAAATTGTATAATGCAAATCCGCTCTAATGCACTGAAGTACACTCCTTGCAGGTTGTTATAGATCCCTGGGGATCTATGTAGACCACTTTGGGAATCACTGGCTTAAACCAATAAATCAGCATATCCTCCAAAATCCTAACTTTCTCGATTTTGTGCAAACGGCTATAACAAAATAGTTATATTGTATAATAGTATTACAATTTACAATTACTTGATTATAATTTTATGTTGTTTGTTATTTCTTTTTAATGTTAGACACCGTGTAGAGCATTTTATTTGACCAATTAGCTGTTTCACTGAACGGGGTAATGACTATCAAAAAAAGTATCCATTCTTTTTCTCGCCTTTATCGATTGTCCTAACTACAAACTTTTAGCATATTGTTGAATGATACGAAATCTCCGGTGAAATTGTGTGACAATGGTTGCACCGGTATCACAGACACGAGTTCGAACAAGATACTGGGACCAAAAGAAGAAGTAGATGAAATTCACAGGGTTCTCAAGGCGCGACCTTTCTTCCTGAACCGTTGGAGGGTAACGAAACTCCTCGCCGTCATCGAAACTCTTATTAAAGTCTAAATTCATATACAGGTAGACTGCGATACGGTCAATAAGTTGCCCAAATTGTTTTTTACCTTGGGTGGAGAGGATTTCGACTTGAAAGGGACCGACTATACGACAAAGGTGGGCGTGGTAAGTGAAACGTCAACGCGCACTGTAGCCCCTCTTGCGTATTTTAGATGAGTTATTTCTCGTTTACTATCTGCCTGTCTGCATTCGTGCCCCAAGAAATGTACCCAGACAATTTCTGGGTTCTGGGCGGGGCGTTCCTGAGCCAAATCTACACGATTTATAATGTGGAAGAGAAACAAATTGGATTCGTCCGTGCAGCATAGAAATAATTTTATCATACCTAACTTACCCACCTACTGTATACTTAAGTGGTTATGTTACATGTGCCATTAATACGATAATAATTAAAGCTACTGTAATATATGTCTCATTCGCGTGACCTCTTAACCTTGCCTTTAACGATCCTAGACTTTTTTTAGGAAAAGTAACATGGGAGCGTTGGTGGAAGAAATGGTTGTTAATGAGGTCAGAGTTCTCCCTAGAGATAGAAAAATTAATTACTCAAATGAGGAAAACTATTACACCTTACCATAAGTCAAAGTACCATACATTTGGTTTCTCTTCATCTTCGGTACCAGTTCGGTACTTTTTCAGTTCTTTTCTGAAGCAATGATGTCCTTAATAAAAAATTAAAATTTTTATTGACGCATTTAACATTTACAATATAGTTTAACCTAAGAAAAATAGTAACCACACATGTCAATCGAGTAATAGTACTTAATCCAAACAACACTTACAATTGCCAAACTACAAAGTTTACAAGGCGGCCGGTCTTCTTTGCTTTACAATTAAAACTACTGAGAGAGTCAGAAAATAAATCAATGCGCTCGTTATTTGAGAGTAAAATATTTGCCAGCTTGCACATTCGATTTATAGGCGAGTTAACGCGATAGTTGGTCCTATGAAAATCGATGTTAAAAAGAGCCTTACTTCTTGCATTAATAAGAGAAGTATGAAAACCAACAGATGCAAGAAGATCTGGTGCATCCATCAAGTTATTAAGGATTTTGTACAATGTAGGGATGTCAAAAAATATGCGCCTACTCTCCAAAGATGTCAGATTCAAAAGCTTCATAATCTCCTCGTAGTTTATTTCCTCAAATGAAATTCCCAATTTAAAATCTATCCCTCTAAGGAACTTACGCTGCACAAGCTCTATTTTTTCCTTGTGAATTGCATAGTATGGTTACAGCATACTTTAAAATTCAACTCACAAGCGCACAGTACAGCTCCGTATACGTAAAGATGTTCTCAAAATCCGAAAAACAAACCCAAGCAATCGAATAGCTCTGTTAGTCATAAAATTGATGTGATATGTAAATGTGAGCTCCGAATCGAGCCAAACTCCAAGATCTTTAACTAGGTTCTGTCTCTCGAGCGATCAGATCAGAGAGTTCAAATGATAGATGAAAGGATTTTTGGATCTGCTAAAGCTTACAATTTTGCACTTCTTTGTATTAAGAGTTAAATTGTTCTGTCTGCACCACAAAGAAAACCTATCAAGATCCTTCTGTAATCAATGACAGTCAAGAGGTGATGCTACAACCTTAAAGAGCTTTAAATCGTCCGCAAATGCAAGAAATTGGCAAAAGTGAAAAATATTTTTTTTTAAGTCATTAATGAAAACATTGAAAAGGAATGTGGAAAGCTGTCCCTTGTGGGACACCAGACGTCACAACAGTCTCTAACGAAATGTAATATTTAATTTTAACTGATTGCTGCGAAACCAATTTAGAAGATCTCCAAAGATCCCTGAGAGCTTCCCTACCAAAATGTCATGGTCAACCATGTCGAAGGCCTTGGAGAACTCAGTATATATAGCATCTAGCTGATATCGATTCTCAAAGGCCCCCAATAGCGAACGCTCGTAGCTCAGGAGGTTCGAAACAGTTGACCTTCCCTTGACAAAACCATGCTGTTCGGTTATAATAACGTTTTTAAAATGAGGGGTGACATAATCGGAAACTGTACCCTCAAATATTTTCGAAAACAAGCAGATTTTAGAGATTGGGCGATAGTTTTTTAAGTTAGCCCCATTTGAAAATGGGTGTAACACAAGATTTTTTCCAATATGAAGGAAAAACGCCGTAGGTTAGTGAAAAATTAAAAATTTTACATAAAATTTCGGATAAAACGAATTTACAATTCTGCACCAGTATCAGAGGTATACCGTAGGGTCCCGGTGTGCTTTAAAATACTTACCCTATTGAAAACATCGACAACATTTAATTTTAAAAATCCTAGACTAACAGATTTATCATTTGAAAATGATTTATTGCATTCTGCATGTTCTGAATAGATTGAGAAAATGCTGGTTGAACATATACGCCACTCTCTGAGTGTCGCTGGTAAATTCATCATCAAGCGACATACATTGTGGATACTCAAGGGCTTTTTATCAGTTAACTGATTTTCGAGCATTCCGATGTAGTCTTTATGCCAAGAAACAGATAAATTTCTACGCTGCTCCCTCAGTTGAGAAAAAACACGATAGTCCTCTAAAGAATTTGTGCATTTGAAAGATTTATGAGGTTTTTTCTTTTCTAGGATTAAAGATTTAAGGTTATCATTCATCCACTTGGGAAATTTTAGAGTTCTATAGCGAGCGATAGGTGTAAATAACTCAATAGCACAAAAGAGAACATCATAGAACTGTGAAACCATCATATCAACATCCGCACACTTAAAAATACAATCCCAGTTGACATTTGACAAAAATAAATTAATTTCTTTGTAATTAGCATACTTATAATTATAATAAAAATAATCACATGCGATATTCCTGAGTGAGGTAATGGCCAAGTTGAAGTTGCAAACGAAGGCTGGATGAGGTGCATCCAGCTTTAATACCGTCCTATCACAGATCGTAACACAGATTACCAGGCTGAGTAGAGAATAGCAAATCAAAAAAATTGCCATACTTATTAGGGATATGTATGTTTTCAAATAACCCCAAATAGGCCACACAATCGGAGACAACAATTGCCTCACTTAGATTCCCGCAAAGCGTAGTACCAGTTTCACTGTTGCACCATGATAGTTTAGGTAAATTACGCTTCTGGCTCTATTTCTTTCAATTTATTTGTAACGAATGTGTCGATACAAATCTGTAAATTCCGTTGACAGCAATCTGAGCCCTTTTCGATACAGAAGTACAAACTTTTCCTCAAACTAGTTGACTAAGACGGACACTTTGGTAAGTTGGTACAACATACAATCACAAGAAAAACATACAATAAGTATGCTTGTCTGAGGCAGCCTTTAAAGCAGTTTACCTATGCACAAAGAAGCGCATTTCGACGATTGAATGATATACTTAACTCAATATAATTTTTTATCTTTATTAAATACTTTAAATACTATTTCTCATTACTAGTCTCTGACTTTTAACATGAGAATCGATAACATTTTTTAAAATTTCTACTAAAGGGCGTGTAATACTACAGATCACATAAACACCATTTGCTACTTCCATCTTTAAATACTACCAGAAAACACAGATTTGACTTTAGTTTTGTCATTGTATTAATAAATGGTGAAGGTGCAGGGGAAAATCAAATTTTTCTGAATGATTTTAGGAGTTTGAAAAAACAACGACTATGTATAAAAACACCTTTCTTTTTCTGTTGGTACTTTTCACATTTTAAATGGAAACTGGGGGGTATGTAAGGGAAGAGGCCTGATTTGTACTAACAAAAATTCTGTCGGCGGTTTGGTGCCCGTGGTCTGTGAACTTCGATTGGTTTCTACGGCTATATCAGCATTTGATCAGAAGTGTTTTCCTGTTGAATATCAACAGCTCCCACCTGTCATTAGCATTCTGCATAACTCTGTCAATCGATAAATATCGATTTTGTTATTCCTTTTTGACGTGTCGGTGGTTTCCACTTACAGATTACATGATGAATTTCCATTTAGATTTTTTTACTTTCATCTCTTTATAAACATATATACATTCTTTTTTTATTTCAAACGTTTTTTCCTTCTCATTCTTTTAATTATTGCTATAGTGGTGTTGGGCCTTGCATATGAAATTCTCCGTGAATAACTTTGTTTATAGTGGTGACGCTGAGATTGGGGAAGTTGGAAATTATAGTTTGATATATAAAAACTCGTAATCTAGAGATGATTCTAGAGATGATTTTTTGTTAGGAACCGGTGAACACTAGATATGGTAAACCAGAGCCATTTTAGTATAGGAGTATTACATAATCTAATATCAAATCTTTACAATGAATTAATATGCCAACCAATGTCGCAAAGTTTTACTAAAAATGATAAAAGGGGACAAGTCACAGAGAATTATATATCGTCCGCTGATCAAAAAAACTACTGCTACTACCACTACTATTAAAAAATATACCGAGCCTAAATTTCCGACAAAAATTCTTATCAAAGAAATGCTTAGCTGATCAACGAAGAGTAATTTTTTATTGCACTAGGTGTTGTTGACACTAACGAAGCGCCAATTAGCGCTCTAATGAGTTTTAGATTTCTAATCTGGATCAGGCATACAGACACAAATTCGAAATACTTCTGCTGAAATAATTTATCAAAAAAGCTTATAATTCGAAAGTTCGGTGAATGCGCAGGACTACATTTACTTCATGCAGTTACGGCAAATACAAAAGAAAATTATTTCTACAGTCATATACCACCTTCACCTAAAAACTTAAGCCATCTAACAAACGGAAACCGGTTAGGATTCCGTCTTAAGTTGAGCAATCACACGTTCTTATTTATCCCGTTTATTGGTTAGAGTGCTTAACATGTTGCCTACCTATGAAGCCCAGATTTTGGCATTATTGATTTTAAAGTACTACAAAAAATAAATATTATCCATAGATGCAAAAAATTTTTCCACTGCAGCAAAATGACAAACATTAAGCTGAATTTAACAATGCTTTCCAATAATAACAATGCTGTTAATTTTAATGGTATTGACTTGCACAGCTATGCAGCTCTATTGTATATTTCTTCATTTATAACTTTTCTTTATCAAAAGTAAAATTCCTTGTGGAATGTGCCACGTTCGGGGGATAGAAAATTTCACTTTTTTCCAGAAAAACCCTAATCTGGATCAACCACAATCGCATTAACAAATAACACAATAACAAAACAGTGTTTAACCTGCATACGTATTTTCAATACGGATCTGTAACCACCTGGATCGATGGGCAGATGTGCCTTTTTCCCAGGCGCAAAATGCAGACAAATAACGAATAGCTATTCAAACTCGTATGGTCATATAAGCATGAACGTGAATGCTTGTGGTGCAAAGGGTTCACATTTCGGATTTGGGTTTTGGATTTCGCAAGTTGGGCAACCGTAACAAAAACTACAAAATAAATTACTTTCCCATTAAGGGAT